GCAGGGGGTCTGTGTGGTGGCTGGGAGTGCGGGCCCCAGAGCCAGGTGCCAGCACGTGGCCTGGAGCCACAGCTTCACCTCTGCTCCACGTTCTCATCTGCGGATGGGATGCTTCCCGCACTTGTCAGGAGAAACGCACCGAGACTGGAAGTTGTGTGTGCAGCCGAGTGCGGCCCAGTGCTCTGGGCATGGAGGAGAGCAGGGTGTTTGGGGAGGACAGTGCTGAATACATGAGTGGTCACCCAGAAGGTGTCTAATCAGATAAATGCACGCACAGGGTGGGAGTGGGGTGAGGAGCAGCGAGCAGCAGGTGGCCACGCCAGGTTGGCAGGGCCTCTGGGTCGCAGACCTTGAGGCCCAAACATGAAGGACGCCATGAGGGACGTGGAAATGTGCCTTCAGGGAGCGGAGGCTGGTAGAGGTGGCTCTGTGGGTGAGGGACGGGGGAGGCTGCGGCCGGGCGGAGGAACCTGGACTCATTGTCGTTCTGGCTTCTGTGGTGCATTAGAGACCAGTTAGGAGGCCGGTGGAGCCATGCGGGGAGGCGGTGGCACCCAGGAAAGGGGTGACAGGCACAGGCCAGGCTCCGGATGACTGCGCTAATGTGTGAGCGAGCTGTTAGTTCCCTGGGGTGGGAAGACCGGGCGGGAACTGAGGTACACCCAGCCTGCTTTGTTCAGCGCCCCGGGCACGTGCCTGTCCCTGCCTGGTGACCCCACGTGGAGCCCTCTACCACAACTGCCCTTCGAGCCCAGCTTGTTCTGAAGCCCCCATGGAACCACTCGTGTGACTTGACATCCATGTCCACTGTTGCCTGACTGCGGTGATGAGTCCTCTGCCAGTAATCAGATCTGTATTCTCCCATCGAGAACTTTTAAGCCAGAATTTTGGACTAAATTGTTTCCTTAATGTGATGGAGACTAAGTTTCTAAAGACTAAACTGAAATAAGTAAAAAGTACATACAAACAGTGCCTTTCTTCTGAAAGTCTTCTGGCTGGGATCTTAAGAATACATTCTGAGATGTAAACAGTGTATTCTAAAAAGAGTTTAGGGGCGCCTGGGTGGCTCAGTTGGTTAAGCATCCAACTTCGACTTCGGCTCAGGTCATGATCTCGCGGTCTGTGGGTTCGAGCCCTGCGTCAGGCTCTGTGCTGACAGCTCAGAGCCTGGAGCCTGCTTCAGATTCTGTGTCTCCCTCTCTCTCTGGCCCTCCCCTGTTCATGCTCTGTCTCTCTCTGTCTCAAAAATAAATAAACGTTAAAAAAAAAAAATTAAAAAAAAAATAAAAAGAGTTTAGCACAGAATCCTGTTCTCCATTAGACATGAAATGTGGTCACGTCCGATAGACATGAAATGCGGAGTTCTGGCTTGGGTGACAGACTGTTTTGCCGCAGGTCACTGGAGTTCTGTGGCCATTGCTGAGCTGCGGGGTGATGATTGCCTCATGAATTTCAAGGGGGTCAGCTTAGATCCTGGCGAGGAATGTTATTATCAGCCACTGAGTGAGATGTATAAGCTGTAGTCGTTATAACCTATGTGTAAGGTGTATTGCTTTAAAGTATCCATTGCAGAACAACAGTTTCCATATTTGATTCAAATAACTTAATTTGAACCAAGTTATTTAGAACTAATGTGATTTTTAGGTTTTATTTTAGTATCTGTAAAAATGTATGTGATTTGGGAAACTTATTTTGTAACATGTCAAAGATCAAGTTGAAAGCCCATTTTGTTGGGTTTCAGGGAAATGTGGAGGTGAAATAATGTCCCTTTTTTCTTTCCTTCTCTCCTAGCATTGTCATGGAGACTCTGCGGATACTGGCTTTGGTGGGTCAGATTCTTTTCTCGCTGGCCGCGGCTTTTCTCCTGTGTCTCGTTATAAAGACTTACCTCATTGGACCGTATTATCGAAAACTGCATATGGAGAGCAAAGGGAACAAAGAGATCCTTATCGTAGGAATCTCTGCTTTCATCTTTTTAATGTTAACGGTAATCCTCAAAATGCCTGTTATTTACATAGTCTGACCTGTAATCTGTTCATTGAGAGCTTATGATCCGTCAGTTCTTTATCTTGTCACTTCAGTGGTAGTTAAAATAATTCGAAACGCATGGCATTTTTATTTTATGCATGGTTACTACACTGCCCATGAATTCATACCCAGTAGACTAAACCCGTTCACTCTCAGCCTCTTGAGACCTTTGCTGAAACGGTACCTCAAGCGTCGCACACAGGCAAGTCTGGGTGGCCTTGAAAACCACGTAGTCTCCAGCGTCACCAATGTTACGTGGTCTTAAACTTAAAAACAGCTTTGTACCTGAAACCATAATAACAGTTTAAGACAATTTTTACTTCTATTTGGTGACAACAAAGCCGGTCAGCAGTATAACTTCTTTCGCCACAATGTGAGAAGTTGAAGATGAAAATCAAAGGTTCGTTTTGGAAGCAGCCTTCTCCTTTAAAGGATGTGCTTCTGAGGGATGGGGGGGGTGTGCTGTTAGACCCCCACAGACAGCTGTGCTGCTCACCACGTGCCCCTGAGGAGGGAAGGCGGGTTCACACAGAAGCTCCCACGTGAGTGTTCCTAGTAGCCAAACGCCACCCAGATGTACTTCAGCAGGTGCCTCCTTCTGCCGGCCTCGGTCCGTCCACACCAGGGAAGGCCACCCAGGTTGGAAACGATTGTACGTGAGTCTCCAGAGAGTTCTGCTCTGCTGAGCAAGAAAAGCCAGTTCCAGAGGTTGCATACTGTGTATTTCCATTTGTGTGACATTTACGATGAAAAATTTCAGAAATGGAGGGAAGGTTGCCAGATGCCAGGTGTTAAGGGGTGGGGGTGGGGGGGAGGGTCCTTGTGACAGAAGGTTGTGTGTGTCTTCACTGTGTTGTGTCTGTATGCTGGCCGTGATCTCGTGCTCTGATGTAGCAAGATGCTGCCACTGGGGGAGCTGAGCAAGGGTACATGAGGTCTCTGTGGTTCTTAGAACTGCAAGGGGTCAGCTCTTACCTCAAAACTGGAAAGGCACAGAAGCTACTTCTTGTGTAGGATTTAACTACTGACTAGTGTTTTGTAATCTTGGGAGACTAGGATTTGCTTCTGCTCAACGCTGCCCATGTGTGTGACTTATTTAATTTTTTTACATCGCTTTCTCCATTCTGGACTATTTTTCTCTTTAAAAATGACATCCAGCAAAATTCTTCTCTGGATGACTTCCATGTTGTCTTCCCAGTGGCTACACAAGTTAAAATAGTTCTCTGTTTGTTCTGTTTTCTTTCTTTGACACTGTTTCCTGAGCAGCAGCTGGGACCACCCGGCATGCTAGGTGCTGGCATCCTGCACGACAGAGAGTCTAACAGCTCAGGCTCCGCTGTTGCAGTGCG